TATTACCGTCAAAAAAAGGGTACCCTTACTTTTTTGTTAACAGTGCCTTTAATGTTGCATGATTGAAAACGCTCGCCGTTCCACGCTTGCCGCATGGTAGCTCCACTCACGCCTAGACGAGTTAGCCTTGCAAAGGATCGAAGCATTAGGACTCATTTTTTTCATGCTTAACACCTGCACATGGCATTCCAGGGCTTCAGGGAGGAATCACTAAGGATCAACAATGGCTTTGGGAACGGCATCGTCGACGTCTACCCCGAAAGACGGACAAGTTTTGACGGCAATGTAGAGCCTGTACCATTTGTAGTAGAGGACACACGTTGGATATTTAAACGACTCAATATGAGTCATGTCGACAGTGAAAGGGAACTTCGGGTTTTTTGGCTTACTGGGGCCGCCTCTCTACGAAACTGCAACGACTGAAATCTCGTCCAAGTACTCCATCAATGCCATTTCCGTCATGGTGATCTTGTATAGACCCTATTTTCATTACTACTACGAATGTTTAGATTTCATGTCATGCCGATTTCCGCGTTTTCTTCACTACTGATGCACTGTTCTCCACCAACACTCCCGCTTTTCAATAAAAAGGCCCAGTTCACGATAAAAATGGTTCACACGACTTTCTCTACAATTCTCCAGTGGTCCCAAAGGGTAACACAAAGGCCGCTGTCGGGAGGAGAAACTCAGTGGACAGGACATAATATGAGCCCTACTGCCGGATTCGTCGACATCCACGCCCATCAAGGGGTGACTGTCAGAGGAGTGTCGAGGAGATACACGTTGCTCTATTCACACTAGAACTCATCATGCAATCAGCTGATAGCGGGGTGTTGAAGTGATATCTCTCAAGCAAGCAGAAACTTAGTGTGTCGGTGTGTCGGTATGTCGGTATGTGGGTATGACGGTTTGTAGGTTTGTCGGTCTGTCCGTCCGCAAAATTATGATTACGATAATGGTATTGATATAGAGAACCTAGCTCCATCCAACATTTCCTTCTTACTAGAGCAGTAAATTGGTGGGCAGGCTAATGGAGCGAGCGTTGCGGAATGTAGTGAGTGTGGAGTGAACGAGTACTTCGACACCATGACTTCGATTGACACTGGCATGGTGTCATGTTTACCTATACAGAATTTGGAATTTAGCTACTCTATTCATTGCTCTTTCTCCATTCTCTACCCTTCTCATTTCAGTCTAACAACCCGCGGTGAACTAGAGCGTTCAAACTTGGTAGAAGTACGGAGGGCAGGATGGGAACATGTGTGGTGGATGGCAGGACCAGAGTCCACCCACAAAGGGCGGGATTTTGTTCCGAAATTATCAATTTGTCCCTAGGGCGTTCAAATTTGGCAAGAGTAGAGGCGGCAGGATAGGAACACTTATCGTAGGAGGGAGGACCGGACCCCGCTCACAGAAGGCGAAGTTTGCGCCAAAATTTTCAGTTTGGCTCTAGTGCGTTCAAACTTAGTAGGAGGCAGGCGGCAGTAAGGGAACACCTATGGTGAGCATTAGGGCCGGACTCCACCCCAAGGGCCGGGTTTTCCGCGAAATAAATAACTGAGTGGAAATCCATAACTCCTAATCCCGTGAACTTGGAGAGCAAAAGAGGCAGTATGGGAACACTGACAAAAGGAGAGGTACTCATCAGTTGAATCCTAGCGCCTTTCTTATTTACGATCTAGCTTTGAATTTTTGATATGTTTCATTCGAGAAGAAGGGTAAGTGGTGTGATTATAAGGAGCTGAATTTGGTTCACTTCTTGCTATTAGACTGCGAGCGTTAACCAGCGAAGTTTGCGATATAGTGAAAAATTACGGTTTCCTTGCTTTGATATCATTCTTGGCGAAACTTATCGACCGCTGATAATATTGGACTCTCGTTTAATGATGTATCCGTAAAGAAAAGGAGCTACATCTTCAAAGACATTTGATAATCTAGTATACTCTAGTCAGCAGGGCGATCCGACTGGTTTTACTCATATTCTATTATTCTCTTTTATACTTTTTGCTGCTGCAGTCCTTTATCTAAAGTTTTCTACCTTAAGAGGATGAAGAAGGTGGGTTTTTTTTTTGCTGTCAATAGTGTTTTTGTTAAGTTCTGCTTCTGACAATGAGCAGATGAATTCAAAGGACATTTTCGATTACTGTAGTAAGCTTTTCGCACTGGGACCCACACGTACGCAATCACACTTATTGAAAAGCTTGTTCAAACGCCCCTTACTAATTCAATTTTTCTGACCTTATTCTCGTCCAGTCCCCTTTAACGACTTTTTTGAAACCTTTTATCGTTTTGGAAACACCAATTCGCGTACTTTCTTCGCCTCCATCGCATAATTCCCACCTTTTCTTTCATTTTTCTGGACGACCCAAAATTATTCTGAACTGTGCCTTTACAAGGGTATCTCAAGCATACATAACTTGATAACATAATTACACTGATTCCTGTCATTTCAAAAACACCCTCACTAACCTGTTCATGTGGGAGACGATCGCAAGCTGCAACACCCATCATGGGGCTACCCATACCCAATATCAGATACCGTAGTTTTAAAGCTGTATGTAGTATAAATGTCGACTGAAGGAGCATGAATAATGCCAAGAAACAGAGCATCACTGGATTCCAAAGCTGATTGACACGAGTAATGTCGTAATCAAAGTTATATAAGTAGCAAGCGATCTTGTAAATTGCTATGAAGTTCATTGTGAAGTGAGCCGAACACCATGCGCTGGAATTAGCAAATAAACAAAAAACAAGGTGATACGTAGAGCAGAGACTGACTGATCATCTGATCATAGAGGTCCAGCCCATCCCTCACTTGCAACAAAAGCGAGAAGAAAGTGAAAGGTTCCACCGCTGTCATGATGAGCTTACTTACATGTGCACCAAGTCGGCTTCCAAATTTGGCATAAGTGAGGGGGAGGGTGAAGAGCACCAAATTCACTGGAGCCATCGATCACCGACCTGGTGCTTTTATAAACCTGATTGGTTAGTAACATAAAATAATTAGCAGCACTAATGAGGTCACACTTGATGACTGATGATTATAGGGTTACTCAGTAGGGATCTAGTATTCCGTTATAGACCCATCATGATTCCCTCTTTGGTGCTTTTATAAACCTGACTGGTTAGTAACATAAAATAATTAGCAGCACTAATGAGGTTGTACTTGATGACTGTTGATTATAGGGTTACTCAGTAGGGAACTAGTATTCCGTTATAGACCCATCATTATTTCCTCTTACGAGAACTTCGCCAAGTGTGGTATGCGACAATGTGAGATTACGGTAAGAATACGGTGCCATATGGTGTTTTTATCGGTGCTTCATATTAAGAAAGTTGTTCAACAACCATGCTTATTCCGTCGACTTCCTATCCAGCAGGGCGTAGAGAAGATGTTTAACCTAGTAGGAACCCGACTCCTTACCGCAAGCCCAACATCTTTCTCTACTAGATAGTCGTGTGGTAGCAAAATGAAGCATATGTGGGATTACGGTACGAACATGCAAATGTCTCCTACTCATCCCGCCGGGATCCTATCCATGCACCATGTAGAAAAAGCCTAATTTGCTATGGATCCGAATTCTCACTATAAAACATAAATGCTTTTCACGACATTTTTGGCGTCCTTATCGCATGCCCAACATTTTCCTCCTTTAGGTTCATGTTATAAAGATTCGCTTATACTAATACCCATCCCGTCGGCACCCATGCCACTACTCATCCCGCCGGTATCCTATCCGGTCTACCGTGTAACGAGGACCTCTGTCTTGTACCTACCTGACTGCTCCACTGATAACTTCTAATAGCTTCAGTAGTTGCCCATGTCCACGAATATAGTGTCTGACAACCGGTAGCTTCAATAGACATGATTTCCAACCAACTTGTTTAGGACGGTAAATATAAACTGAATTACCTGATGTTTGTTGTTGTCGTTTTTAAAATCGCGATTAATATTTTTAAATTCCGATGCCACACTCTCCATATAGCAGAATGCTGTGCAATTGACAGATGGTATACAGAATAGCACAAGAAATAGTGATATGAGGTAGAAACAACACCAAAATGTCGTCAGCGATTTTCTGGGCAGTAATTGTACTACTCCAATAAAGTCTAGGACAAGTATGGCGAATACAACAGCCGCCCATGCACTACCGATGGCAACAGTTATGTTCTGAAGAAAATCGGAAATAATCAACTCGAGTTGACAACAATTTTTCCTCCTGAACAATTCCGAACACTAGAGTCTTCCAGGGTGGACGAGATGACGGACAGAAGAGCGAGTACCAGCCGCCCATGCACTACCGATGGCAACAGTTATGTTCTGAAGAAAATCGGAAATAATCAACTCGAGTTGACAATAATTTTTCCTCCTGAACAATTCCGAACGCTAGAGTCTTTCAGGGTGGACGGGATGACGGGCAGAAGAACGAGTACCAAAACGAAAACTTTTGGTACAGGCCACACTTCTACCGAGCCCATCACTGTCCTTTACATCATTTCCATCTGGTAGTATTGCGAAGCAGTTTTGGGATTGTTGTGAGAGTTCCGGAACAATACAGCCTCAGGCTTTTCATTCAAATATTAACTATCGCGCTTTGTGTCAAACCTATAACACTTGATTTTATAGCTCTCAAGGTTTCATTACTCCACCTCAATATTACTATTGAGACAGTACCAAAAACTATAGGATTACGGTAGGAATTTGGATCCGCTCACTTTAGTTCGCAAATAGTACGAATTTAAGTAATGTTGGAGACTGCTGGAAAAAAACCTTACTAGGCAGCCTAGTATTTTCTTTCGGTCTGTGCCCCTTAACGACCTATACCGCTTTCGTAGTGCCCACATCCATTTATGGCACCCTTCCTTCGCCTCCTTATTGGGCATCAAAGGAGATTGGCGACCAGCTTTGATAAAGTAGAGGAAGAGACCTGTCAACAGCAAATCTTAAGGAGCCTTTCAATTTCTTTGAAATCAGCCCTTTTATGTTGTTTTATGGTGCTATCGGAAATCGCCGATTCCCACATGTTAACGCGACTGTTTGAACAGTATGAAATACGCGACGGAAGCTAGTCTGTTTATACAAATGCGTGTAGAAAGAACTGCGTGTGTGGTCCGGAGCCAATGGGTTATCAGTACAGTTTCTTCTGAATCTTCCTCCCATTCGGGAACCCCCTTCCCATTGGCACTACTTGACCACACTTATTTTTCGACTTTAGAGCCCTTATTAAGGACTTCATCGTTTTTGAACGATAAATTTACAAACCGAAACCCTGAACAAATTGTAAATTATTTATATTCAATTTACTATCAGTGGGAAGGTATCTGTATAAACTTCCTGATATTAACTATTTTATCAATGGGTTTTATGGTATGTCTTTCTTTTTCGCCCTTTTTCACTCCATTGTTAACACTAGACCGGTTTGATTGCCCACAGTACTGCCCCCGTAAAATGATCTTTTGAAAAGTGGTCTATTCATCTGAAAGCTGCTGCTACTCAAGGAGTGATCCGACTACTCCTTTTTTGGGTTTCACTCGAATAACCGTACTTGACTTGATGTCAACTGGAGCTTTATTACTGTGTAAGATACCAGTGTGACCTTCTACCAGTGAGAAAGACTTCATCTTCTACGCAATTACGGCTAATTTGAACCGACTCCTAACTTACGGATCGTATAGAATTTCTGGTATTTCAACTCAGTTTGCTCAGATGGAATACCTGTTCCTAAAATTGTGAAGGGTAAGTGAAATGTGAACAACAGCAGTCTTACAATGAGACTCGAACCCGTGCCCATGTTCTTATAGTCATCGTGCTAATCCATTGAACTACCGAGATCCCAAGCACATTCAACCAGTTTTTTAGTAACATGTTTACCATGGCTGAACCATAACGCAGTAAGGATTGTTGTAGATCATTAATGACTTCAATCTCGTCTCCACGACCACTACCTTCAGTACACCACACCCTTGCCGAAAAAGTAACCAAAAACTCACCCTTCTTAGCATCACTTGCTTCCTGTTCTTCAACGTTCCAATCCCAATGGAGCTCTTTTTCAAGCGTTTTGAGTACTCCAGTCTCCTCATAGAGCAATTCCAGTAAATCAAAAAGAAGAAGTCAATACAGCCTATCAGATAGATACAGTAATACGCCGGTGGCATTATGCAGACGGATATAACCAATGCTATACATATGAATGCACACAGAATACATGTCCATGCCTGAAACTCGAGAGCATCTAAGGCCTATAAGTAATCAGAGTATTCTAGAGTGAAGAAGGTAGCGCTTGAATGCACTTTCCAAAGTCGGACGAGTTATTGTGAAATAACCTAACGGTCGTACTAACTCGTTCTTTCTTGAATCAGTCTTCTGTTACTTTGTTTTCGTTTACTCATCAGTTTTGCCGATTTTCCTACGTTATCGCAGGAATTCCGCCTGCTTTGAATACGTATCAAAATTGGGTATCTTTATATATAAAGCCTTGAAAGTCTCAGGTTCCGTGGTCCGAAGTCAATGGGCGATCGGCGAGCAGCCCTGCTACGCCTTCCCACCGGCATGCCTTCCCGTTGCCGCTAACTTGACCACATTTTTTTCGAGCTCAAGGGATTTCCTTTTTGGTACTATGCTAGGTAAATTTTGCCAAAAAATGTCCTTTGACAATTAGATTATAGACGCTCCCGCCTCAGTCAAAAATGAAGGGATTCTGTGTTGGATGTCGACCAATCTCACGGGAATACGCCATGCATTCGACTTTTTTGTGGGTATTAGCGGACTTTTTGTTCAGTATTTGTTGAAATAATTAAAGTCATTAGACGGTTTTTAGGAAAGCTTAGATTAATTGGCCATCAATTACAAAGAAAGGATCTAGCATCAGCGGAACTCGATCACGGAATCAGGTTCCATACAAAAGAAGTAAGTGGGACCCCTTACTGGTCTGCTTTCGCCCTAACTGAATGAAGATCTTCCAAAAATATGAAAATCCAAAATCCCTGTTTGCTACAAAGTATTAAACATTCAGGCTATTAGGTATTTTTGTTCCAAACTGATTCCTATACAAATATTCTACGACGACCTTTTTTCAATTCCCCACAAATTCCCGATCTAACTATTGGTCGTTACTCAATAGTATTCCAAGTACTAACAATGAACTTACAATTTGCAGTTTCTGTTTAAAATTGCGCCTTCTGTTTTTCGTAGTCTGAGGGGAGCTGTGGAGGAGTAAGCAACAACTTGTGATTCGAATTGGCCGGCACATTGAGGCAAACTGGAAAATCACAGAAATTATGAGTTTTTCGAAACTATGGTCTACACGAAAATTTGGATGTTTCCGCTAGAAAACACCTAAGCCTCAATCATACTAATCAAGTGAGGAACCATTCAATACTGTCGAATCCCTCTCTCAGTTCTTCAGAAGATTCTATCTACTTTAACAAAATGACTTATTCCCTCGAAAAAGAGCCATTAAACCCAAATTGTTCTACGGTGAATCACGACTACGAGGCTGTTGAAGGTGGCGAAATTAGATGAATATGGAATTGGTGAAGCTTACTAGCCATTCAAGTTGTTTGTTGATTGTTTCGCTATTACTGTAAACAGCAAAATCCATTTTGAGAAATGGCATTAGTCGTTGTTAGAGCAAATAATGTTGAACTAGGAAGCCGTCTGAAATAAGTTATTTTCAGAAGTAAAAAGAAGCAACCACGAAGTATGTATAGTGAGGGCGTCTTGTCAGGAAGAAGAAGCCAATCTTGAAAGGAACGGATCAAAAGAGCTGAAAAGTTGTCAGAGTAGAAGAACACAGTGTTCCTCGTGATGTGATCATAAAGGATTAGAGAGATTTGGTTTTTTCCCATAATTGAGGCTTTATGGGTCCTTATTGTCGTTACTTACCTTTGTCACTTACCACCCATCGTCAATTAACATCACATTTGTTTTACCAACTCTTCTACCACATCATCTCAGAAAAGAACACAGGAAATCGGTGACTTTCCTCTTCAATCACTCTTGATAAGCAAATACTAGCTAGTATCACTTCCTATCACTTGATACCTATACTCACGCACCACTTCTTATTATCTGCGATCCCATAAGGCTTCATATGGATAAGTTTCGTGGCTCCAGTGCTTACTGAAGTAAGAAGGGTGCAACAATGCAATGACTCCTGTCATTCAAAACCCTTTACCATCAGGCTTTATCAGTGAGTATCGTACTCTAACTCAGATCATTGCGATCACATTCCAAATAACATATGTAATCGCTGAAGCTCTGCTGCTAAGGGTGAAAAGCTGTTCACCTTACCTATTGCGCTTTCTGCCTTTATCGGCCCTAATAAATTCTTATCCTTTCTGTCCTGTCCATCGATAACCTTTCTCTGTTATTTGTGTCCTTCACGATTTCGAGTGATCTGAAGAGTTATTGTTTCAAAATCACAATCTATATTCACACAGCGACACACACACTATAGACACATGTACACACCAACATACTCACCGATACATACCGGCACATGCCCTCCGATACACACATACTTATAGACACACACAATGACACACACGTCGACACGTAATAAAAATTCCAACATAATACTCTGTTGGTATCACACGAAGAGTAAGGTATCACCGCTGATAAAGAGTGATAGACAATGATAAAGAGGTAGAAGAAAAAAAATGGGGAGATGAGCTGGGTCTATATGAGAACACGACTGCATCACTAATTATACCATTTTACCAGAATACAAGCATAGCTCATGCCTCAACCAAGAACCGAAAAATTTGGAAGAATCTTTGTTGCTTGCTGAACATTATCTAGTTAACAGAAAAACTAAAGCTAGTAGATTACGAAAGAGACCAGAATTTAATTGAACAGTTTCTGTGTCGAAGATACTCAACTACACGAACGACCAGCGAAGAAAGCGGGTAGAGTTAGCTATCGGCTTGGCTTAAAAGACTCTTTGCAGCAGACTGGGGCCCGACGCGCTATAATGCCAGTTCTGCACTATTCCTAAGCTCTTTTGATCTGCTTTTAAGACCTAGCCGAAGTTCGAGTGTTGTAACTTCGAGAAAAATTAGTCTACACAGGCTTATGTCCGGTAATCCCCCGGAACCATTGCCTTAAATCATTCCCATCTAGAAAAATAGGTGTTCAGTAGGTTACTTTGAACAACCAGAATTGAGGGGCAGGTCAAAAAATCTTCGTGTCTGTGGAAGACAGCTATCGATTAGCCTAGTTAGGATCAACAAAGTCTTTTATATGATTACCGAATATCCCTGAAATTCCTATAAAGGTGGTTAGTCCATATGTAATCTACTACTTGGGTACTAAGTAACTTGCTTGTAATCCTGATTGTTTGCTTCTTCGCACTTCTTCGGAACCCCTCAAATAATTGGTTATCAACACCTATGGTTGACCCTTTTGACCATTTATACCTTCATTAGGCATTGGAATGAGGTAAACCCTCAAAAAGTTGTATACTACGCTTCAAATTCCCATTCCGACGTTCCCTGTGTGTTGTCTAGGGTGTTTTCAGAGTAAATCACAACACACCCCATGTCTTCGTACTAAAAAGTTTTGAAAGAACCGTCTGCCCTCAAAGACTCCGTCAGAGACAACTTGCAGCCGCTCCAAACTAGCCTCATAACCTGAGTGTGGGCAGCTTTGTCATCGTAAAGTTGTAAAGTTGTTCTGCATTGAACCTGTGTACACTAGAACTGACGCTTAATTTTATTTCGACACGGGTGGCAGCTGTTTTCAGTTCCCACTTAATGCTCACGAAGCTGGTGCTCTGAAAGAGCGGTTTTATGTTGAGTAAGTTTCATTTTCAGTCGCTCTGCCTTGGCAATCTCTCTTATTTCCTCCTTTTACTCGTTTTTGAAGGTTTCTCCAAACTACGCATTCAAGATGAAGCTTATAAAGCGAGGAATAGAAAAAAACGGACCGGGGTGAGTTTCAGACTTGCTTTTTCTGTGGTTTATCGTTATTAGCTAGTAATTAATCGGTTTTTTAGGATAGGGGTGCGTGTTTTTGCTTGGGTACCTTATTTTCGATTATATTAAACTTGTTAATTTTTTGTATTTCAGGTATGTCGCACTTATTCCGGACGATTCCGAGGATATGTGGCACATATATAATCTGATACGTGTTGGTGACGTTGTTCGCAGTAAAACTATCCGTAAGGTTAGTTCTACTAGCTTAGCTTATCAAAAAACCAGATTCACCTCACTGATATCCCAGAGTATAACCACATCAACATCCTTACAACAAGCACCTATACAAAAATTCCATCATAGATTCACTTGTTTGTAGTCTTTCTTTATGCAAATAATGCATAATTTCTGAGAATATTCGATTGTACAAACCGAGGAAAACGTTTAGTTCTGGGTTTACGCCATCGCTGGTCGTTGTTGTATAGATAGTCCGGTTTTGCTGAGAAAACTCATCACAGGTTGTCACTGAAACATCGACTGGCACGACTTCTAGTCAGCGAATGCACACCGTTCTAACGATCAGCGTGGAAGCAATCGATTTTGATCCTGGAGCAAATGCTCTTCATCTCAAGGTAAGTTTCTGTAACATTTCAATTGATCGAGACATTTCATGAGCAGCCTTCATATTATCCTTTGTTGTTGTACATGCGCTTTTCTCCTTGGAGTAGCAAGATCGTTGTTCGGTTGTTTTCAGGGTCGAAACATACAAGAGAATGATCTTGTGAAGCTTGGGGCTTATCATACCCTTGACTTGGAGCCAAATAGAAAATTCACGCTGGAAAAAACGGAATGGGATACGATCGATATAGGTTCTTCCTATTTCCAAATTATTTCCCTGTTTTGGCTTTATTTCGTCTAAAATTTTGTTAGCAATAACTTTGTTTAAGAACGGCTTGACACTGCACTTGATCCTGCAGCTCAGGCAGACGTTGCTGCTGTTGTTCTGCATGAAGGATTGGCTCATGTCTGCCTACTCACCCCAGCAATGACTCTTGTGCGGGCAAAAATTGATATGCAGGTATTTTTCATGGTTCTACGGAATCTGTGCCTCTGTGAGATATTCGATGCTACTGCTGGTGACCGTCATTTTTTGTTTTACCCCTCAGATCCCACGCAAACGAAAGGGGTTCACTTCTCAACATGATAAAGGCATCCAAAGGTTTCTGGACGCAGTATCAGCAGCGTTCCTGCGTCACGTCGACTTCAATGTCAGTTCCTTATCGTTTTTTTTTTCGTTTGTAGCTTTTAAATGTTATTTTGTTGGTGCTAATCATGATGGTTCCCTTTTTCACTAACTTTTTGAGTACTGGTAATGTGGCTTGGGTATAAGGCATCATCGATTATCTCTTAATAAGGAGCTGAATGAACCAATATTTCGACGAAATGAATTTCCGACAGGCTACGCGGAGGCACTGGGATAATCATTAGACGAGGTGTGGGTACACTAAATCGAAAGTGGAGTGAATGATTTTTCAGGAATCTAGTCCCTGTCTTGCATTTTTCTTTTGTTGTAAAATCTTATTATTTATTGCAACTTCTTCTTGCGTGGTTTGCAAGCTTACTCACGAATATCTCGAGCTTGCCCTTTCTTCATGTTTAAGACGGATTTTGCAAAGTCGCGAGATGTTGTAGGTTATAAAATGTGTTCTCATCGCAAGTCGAGGTTTCCTCAAAGAGCAGTTTTTGGATCACCTGTTGCGGTATGCTGATGCTCAAGGGAAAAAGGTATTTAATTCAACGAGAATCCTAACGAAAGTCTGTTTTATACAATGATGAGTAATGAGTAGCTTATTCAGATTACAACTGAACAACGTGGGAAGTTTATGCTGACACATTCTAGTAGCGGTTTCAAACATGCTTTAAAAGAGGTCTTGGAGGATCCGGCTGTTGCTATTCGTCTAGCCGATACTAAGGTAAGGATTTTTGCAAAGGGCTTGATGAAAATTGTCCTCTGTCAAGCTTTGGCCACTCACTTTTCTCCGTGAGATCGTATATCTTATATCTTTAGTATACTTGGTTCAGATAATGTGAAAAAGAACCTAGTGCTGTGCTGTTTCCAATTTGAACTTTACATATTATTGTTAATATCTTAATTACCGTCTTATTTAGGCGCAAGCCGAGGTGAAGGCACTCAATACTTTTTACGAATTAATGTCAACAGAACCGGATCGAGCTTTCTATGGCTACAAGTGAGCTCCTTTCCAGTTTGTCTTCATTTTTTTTTTCGTCTGTGGCCGTAACCGAGTTCTATGAATTTGTGGAACATTTTTAAAAAATGCACAGTGATTTCTCCTTTTTCTAAAGTATACCTGCCTTCAAGTGTATGCTGTAGTTCCATAATAATACGTCCCGCCTTGAAGTGTTTTTTGTTTTGATGGTATACGTGTAGTCGGAAAAACGGACTAGAATCGTAGGTATGCAGACGATTTATTGTAGGCATGTGTGCATGGCGAATAAGGAACAGGCCATTGAGACGTTATTGCTTTCGGACTCACTTTTTCGATCACAAGATTTAGCGACAAGGAAGCGCTATGTGGAACTGGTTGAAAGTGTACGAGAACAGGTGAGGGATCAGTTTCGTAAAGTAGTTTCTACCCGCCGATAACGAGCGATAAGTTAAAGTACCTACATTTGTATTGGGTTGAAGAGGTGGGTGAAGAAAAGCCCTCAGTGTTCCGTCGACTTTGCTCTCCCATCTAAAGTAGTTTCGATAACTATTGGAATTCTGTTATCGCGGTCATATACTCGGGGTTATTGCTAATAGTTTCAGATCCTGATAATGGTTGACAGAAGTAGCGTATCTTTGTGTTTTTATTTACGACACCCATTGTTACTTTGCGAGAAGCTTATCAGCATTTCTGCATCCTCTCAGCAGTAATGTAATGGTTTGCAACAGTGGCAGCCAAGCACTGAATTTGAATTTAGCCATCAAATCTCCATTGAAAGCATTGACCTTAAGCGCGAACTAGAGTCCAAAATGGGAAGTACACGCTGCTACCAATCATTATCTGTCGAAAATTGGTAATGATATTGTAAAATACTGTAAATTACAAAATGAACTATGTCGCTGCATGCCTCATCAGAATCCAAGGTTCAAAAAAATCAGATTCCCATTGCTGCAACAGCTAAAAATAACTGTTACAGAACGGTACTGTGCTCATCTTCTCTTCGATGCATGTCTCCGGTGAGCAGCTGAGCCTCCTCACAGGATGTGCGGCCATTCTTCGTTTTCCAATGCCTGACATTGAAGACGACACATTAAGTGATGAAGAACAGCCGTAGCACTCCTGAACCTGGCCGGAAATCATAGGAGCAACGAGGGGAATAGAGGAGCTTTCGAAGGGCAGAGTTGCTGATGTCTCCTCATGAATGGTTTGACAGCTAGGTATGTATGCTAAAAACGGATAATTTTACCATTCAATTGCTTAATTCTTCGAGCATTTTCTAAGTTCCGAGTATTTTTGTGTCACAGATGTCAGCATTAGGGAAAACGGTATGAAATAATGCTGAATATTACTTGGCTTTATACGATTTATGCCATCGGCAAATTATTTGCCAGTTTAGTCAAATAGCAAGCGGTTTCATCGAGGCACAGCGATTTTTATTTTATTTGAACTTTCAATTGGAAATATCTGGACATATGATAGAACTCTGAGTGGACAGGTCACACTTTATTATATCGAGAATTGCCTACAGTAATTGGCGATAATTATGATTAATCGAGTATTACTTATATTGTTTGTCCAAATAGAGACCATATGTGAGCTGTTTTGTCTCCTTATTGTTTACTCATTCTACCCAATGGAACCCCCTCCTTCAAACTAGGTGAATTGGTTACCGGTTCTATGATAGTTGAAATTCTATTGTTGTTGTTAGGTTTGTTGTCGTTTTTCCTTATTTTATTGTTCCCTCGATTAAGCTTCTCTTTCGCTTCGCTCACATTGCTGTCTTCCACTTGTCCTATGCCGCCTTTCACATTTTTCTGTGATCGAAAATGTTATTATTACTAATTAATTAATATTTTTGTTTCTACGCTCTGACAGAAATCGCCAGGTGTGGGTTCCGACGTCTTTGCCGAGCGGTGACCTATTTTTCGCTGAATGTCCGGTTGCTATAATGAATATTGATGACCAAATATAATTGATTTCTCCAATCTATTTTGCCATAATTGCGAATATTTCATATAATAGGCATTATAAAAAGGAATGTTCGCATGGTTTTTATGCATTTCAGTGAAAAGCGCGTGGAATATTGAACAATTTTTGCCGCTATTTCCTCGTCATTTGAAGTAGCTCAATTTTATTGATGTGAAAACCTTCCAACCTAAACAGGCGCTGATGGAAATCAGAGATTTTAAGAAGTAAGTTTGATGTAATGAATTCAGTTTCTGTGAGAGATGATTATTAGCGAATTGTCCGGTTCCAAAAGTAGGACATTGAAGGTCACTACTTTGACAGAAGACTAATGTCAATGACCTGAAAGTTTTGAAGAGTCAGGTTGATGTCAATCACACGGTCCAGAATCTATTGAATCAAAATAAAAAGGATGGAATGGTTCTTTATTTTAAAAAGCTGTCACAGACTGAACCACATAAGAAGGTATTCAAACTATCACCTCATTTCGGGGATGGTTCATTATCTGGTATTCTAACTCGACCCATATGCAAAGTCTTACAAGCAGAGATATTGGTTCATAGAATGGTCTTGTCTGTGATAACCCCATGACTCTACTTCTCGTAAGCCTAGTAGTATGATGCAATTGAAAGAATTCAGGCAAAGACTAAACTTTGCTTCTTGTGATGCCACTTATTTTCAGCCTACTCCCCGATATACTGATTAGCAACAGAAGCTCAGCCTACTCTCCGATATATTGATCAGCTACAGAAGCAATAAGGGAAACTAATGGATTGAACCTAATGTTCGGAATCCCATGTGGACTCTAGTTGAAATATGCACACAAGTAAAAAGTCAGATATCCACTCTTTCGAGTAGTTCTGATATGCAACACTACTGGTTTGGCCCATGGCAAGATAGATTATTTTTATTACAACACGTAATAGAAGTAGAAGCTAGATCTACATAATACTTAATAGTTGAAAACAACACAAACAAGAACACCCATAAAGCCACACATATGCGCACAGCGCATAATATCACGTTAATGGAAATAACAATCTATGGTTTTGATTTGACATCACGATTGTATTGCTTTACTAGGCTAGGCCTACAGAAATGAGAGAAATTACATAGGAAGAAGTTCTATTCCAGCATTTGGAAGAATTCACGTTGAAATGAATCCGAGAACGGACTCAACGCATGGGGAGCATCATTCAACCAATTGGATGGCGATGACAGCATCGGATCGTCCAGTAACTTCTGATCTTCAAATAGCGATAGCTCGTCCAATTGGCTCGAGTAGTTGGAAGGGCTAGGATAGCACGCAGAGGGAGGACTGCATCTAGAACAAATGGCTGAACCGCTGCAGTCGATAGAAAAATACAAGAGCGTAGAACAATGCATACCGAGGTACGCTCAAGACACTCTCATCCCCGGGCAATACAACCTCGGGGGACGAGCTAGCTGGCTGGCACAGCTCAGTGCATGCTGTTGGTTGCACGCTATGTTGCTCCTCCTCTGGTAGTTGCTCGACGAGCTGGTCGAGATCGAATTCGAGGTTCTATAAAATCGATTATCAACAACGGATAAGTGAAATACCCACGAACAGCCAATGCCTATAGGATCTGAGATCCGAAATGGAAACTTCCAGACTTCTACTACTAAAACACATAGAAGTATATCCAGTACCTACCTCGACTGCGAAGTCGTTGAGGATTTTCTCGAGCTCGTCGGACTGGAGCACACCACCAACACAAGGCTGACCATAAGATGAAACAGAAGATAGAGTGGGACAACCTGTACTCTCGGCAGGAGTCCACTAATGAATGCGGCAGATTCAAGGGTCGCCCCACTCTTTTCGCTGATCATCTCATATGGAACCTCTTCGTATACCACAGGCTTGGATTCTTGAGTTGTACAAGTAACTTCGTCAGAGGTGCCTTCTAGCCGTGACATCAGGCTACGATTCTGTTCAGTCAGCTCACGATTCTCCGCTTGTAGTAGCTCATTTTCTTGTTTCAGAATTTCATTTTGCTCCAACAGTTCACGAATGACGTCCTCTAATCGTTGACTGCGGTACTGAAAGTTAATCAAATATATTCGAAATAATCTCTCACTGCTACTACATATTACTTGAAAGTGGAAATAATGTTTTTGCTAGTAAAACTGTAGTAGTTAAACGGAACTGTTATCAAATATCCCCCAACTTGACATAGGAAAAACATAGCCCGAAATAACTAAAGCGCCGTCATTCAACAACACGTGATGCCCGCAAACCTGCCGCTGACATTATATTTTACGGCAAGGATTACGGTAGTGAGTAACGAACTTTCTCGAACAGCTGGCTTCCGTGAAAGCAGTCAAGGCAAATCATAGGCAATTAGCTACTTCCAGCAGAGGTTATAGGGCTTATGGGTGGCAAATAACTTGATGGAAATATTTCAAACTAAGGATAGGATACGAAATGCAAGGCAATTATAGCACACCTTTTTCCTGTCTCTGGCCGTTTGTGCTGCAATCCTGTTCTTCATCTTTCTTCTGTTCATCTTCTGTTCGTGCGTTAAATGGTCCAGACATTCTCGTTTACGTTGATGAGGTTGCGTATTCTCTCCTAACAATACCTCAATTGGATCAGCAACGAACGGCCTCTTCAGGTCAGCACTGAGAGGCCTTTTTAAATCGGCACTTAGTGGCCGTTTCAGACTTCCAGGAGACTTCTGTAGCAGTGGTACAGTTGAAATTACTCTTGGTGATGGAGCCAATGGACGAGGAACAGCGATTGTTGGCTGAGCAACCACATCGGCTGGTACCAGGTAAAAGGTACGACGATTGGCCATGTTGTGATGAGGATATTGATAAAGCGGTAGATAAGATAGCCGTGGGGCAGTGGCCCTCAAGAAGCGGTGAAACCGACCACCTTCAGACCGCGATCGAACGAACTAGTACACGTCACCACTACACTGGGCGGTCTGCTATTGGTCGGTGGACCCGTATCGACTGGTGAAGCTCCGCCCACGAGGAACAACGTCACGCTGGAGGGTGCGGGCAGGGGACAGCAGAGAGTATGGAAAGCGGGGAGAGTTCAGACAGGCCACCTGGGTGTTGAGCCCATTTCATAGGTAGTTGGTAAACTAGGCTAAGGTCGTCCCAGACCACTTCTTGGCAAGGATCCCGGGACCGCAATTCTATTGCAAACTACTGCAATAAATCCCCTTAACTTCGCAGTTATGAGATTGCGATGCTTCGCGAAAGCTCGGTGGTTGACCTCTCCTATCCCGATAGACACTTCTTTCAAGTCTGCTTTAAATAGTGAAAATCATTTATTTCTACTCATATCACCACAATATTTGCCACTCAGACGGAAAAAGGATCTAAGAATCTTATACGAACAGTTAAATTTTTTTAAGCATGTAACCAATACTGTGGAATGTGAGTTCCACCTTTGCCCTTGCCTTTCCTATTCAGTTTTTTTTTTCCTTTCCATCGCTTTCCTATGTATAGCTAGTCATGACAAAAACGAAAATTCTTTATGAGCACTCGGCTGGCTGGCTAGGCAGAAGCCTGTGTTGCATAATAACCAGTCGTTAGAGTGAGAACCTGCTGTTGGTTACTGTAAGAGCCGAGTTTGTTGGATTTTCGTTTCCGGGCTAACCGGGACAGGAGAAAGGTGGCTCAGTTGCTAAATGTGCACATCTGAGGAGTCGAACAACTTCTCTTGTCTTCTACACCTTTTCTCAAGATTTATTGATGAGTACCGAACCTTTGAAACAGGTAGTGATTTCGAATATAAACTGGTTAGATGGCGCATTCCTCGAGATCACTATCGAGTATTTTCGTTTTACGTTTCGATTTATATACCTTTGACAAATCCAAGGATTATAGTGATTTCTGTACTACCGCCATACAACGTGGTCCCGCATATGGTTTTTTCAATTTTGTGATTTCTGTACTACCGCCATACAACGTGGTCCCGCATATGGTTTTTTCAATTTTTTTTGCGGCTAAAGCTCCATAATGAGTTAATAATACCGTACCTACAAGTCTACAAGCAGCGAACGCAGCAAAAGCATTGCCTGCCTTTATGAAAAGAACTATTACGGTATAACTTCATGCGTATATGAAAATCGAAACTCTCCGTTATATAATAGGTGACCAAAATTGCATGGTCCATCCTTTGATTGAACAAGCTGTGAACAGCTTTCTTTCTTAAGGTCATACATAGATTATACTTTTTAGGCATAATGAGGAGAAACGAGATAAGGAGTGACTAAATAAAATAAGATTAGTTATTAGTTATCTTGTCATTTATTAGTTATCTCATCACTATTCATTTCGCGAGTAACTTCGGCACGGACCAACATCAAAATTCAACTTGTGTTCTCAAGTGCTCTGAACTTTTCTGTGAGCAAAATTCCATTTATTTTTAAAGACAAGCCTACGGATTCTATTCATAAACACAAACTCGTTTGGATGAGTGTTTGAGTTAGACAATAAATAATAGGGTGAGCCGATGCACGGGTCAACGGTCCTTTCCTGCCTCTTGAATCTACCGACTCTGGTACCTTGGCCGACTCCCAGAGCATGGAGGGCTTGATAGTCTTTGGTCACTATTAATCCAGATTTGATCCGCAAACCACACACGTGGTGGCATCCTGGTCTGTACACGTTTGCTAGAATCTGCCATTAATACTGTGGGAAAGTCTAATGATACGGCAACACCAATTGGGCAATACCGTATGTGAAGCTATCGAAATCCGGCTTTCAATGGGCGTCCAAACGATTCGGGAACATATTCGATTATAATTTTGTGTGAAAAAATTCAATGAATTATCGATCGCGATGCAAAATACGGTCTCTGTATGCATTGGCGGACCCCGGTCTGACAATAGCGCGTTTACATTGAGGTCGCCTGTACCAATGTGTGTCAGCCCACCATCGAATGCCCTCTTTTTGCTGCCTGAGCTTTATGTACAGTACAGTAGCAGCAGTCTAACAATGGCTATTTATCGAAATCGGGAATTATTTGTCGTGGTGATTGAAACTCGTGAAATAATTGATAAGATAAAGAGTCTTATCCAACGCTTTCAGCCATGCGGATAGCCACCTTTCAGAATCGAGGAAGTAGTTACATCTGCATTTGGTACTTACCATTGCTTGAAGGTTACATACAGGTCACCCAGTCATTCTTAATCCCGCTCATATACTCAACTTGTCCTGGGATTTGCGGAGTGGAGCCGTCTTCCTCGACATTGCTTTACCTCCATCCTGCCCTAACTTTTATCTTCTGATCAGAATTTTTTCAAACTATTCCATCATTTGCATTTTTACAAATCAATATCAACATTGAGTCCACGGTGCAATGATGGTGCATTTTTTCAATGACAAAAATTTATTAGCAGCACAGAGATATGCTGCCCAGTATGGCTATAACATTCAAAATGGCGCATGGAATAGTGTGAAATGAAATGGTCCACTTCGTACCGTTCCTAGCCAACAAACTACAGCAATTAAATAAATTCGTCAAAACAATAAAGCGAAAACGATCAAATGCACAACCAAGCGTTGAATATTATTGAACCGGTCTCCCATAAATAGTTAGTAGTCGAGTGAATAGAAGATCAAGCATATTTACCTTTGCACATAAGACCAGTACAGAAATTTGAAGTCAATGATAAAATTGAACAGTACTGCTAGATGACCAAGTACTACGAGCCAAAGACTACGAAAACATTGATGTGAGCTAAAGAAAAGTAACAACCACTCACATGTGTGGAAAAACGGCTCATAAAGAGCTCGTGAAGCCGTTACAGTTCGACTATTATACATCTGGATTACACAATAAGTCGTACTATGGTTCCATATGTAGTGAGATTTCAAAAAAAAAAAAAGCTTTGTCTAAATATTACTTAATTTGGTCTTCTTGATTCACATAATGGTAGATACTGTAACGCTGTAGTAAAACCATTAGATGCACAACCACGTAGAACCTGGCCTTTCACTTCCTCAGCACTTCGCGCCACCCTAGGTCAATGGGCACTGGTTCGGAATTGGCATTACAGCAGTTCCGCCGAAAACAGCCTTTTCTACTGTAATAGTGATGTTGGAAGAAACCATTTCCAGACCCAGGAGGAGCTCTGACTATGGGACGTTGCGAACAACATATTTACTAAACCATTCGCGACTCCGTACATGCTACGACGAAGAAAAAGCATTTGTGATGCAATTAGTCTCTCCAGTAAACCTTAGGTATAACGGTACTCGTGATCATGTACAGTTTTTACTTGAATCGTCATGGATGGCATGTGATAAAAGAAGCAAAAAGTGATTATCTTTCATATTTCAGCCCAAAAGGAATTTTTTTCATAGCACATTTCGCTTGCCTAACGTTTCTAAGCCATTCACATCGTCTTTGGAAGCCGGTTTCACCACTCCTCCACCAGAGTAGGAGTTCTGACAAAATCGATAGTTGCAATCAGCCTTGACTACTATCAGTTATCTTATCAATTACGACTCACACTGCTAGTAGCGACATGATTTACTCTGGAAAGTGTCAAACCGGCTTCGATTTCAGATACAACAGGGAGAAGAAGAAATTGAAACGTTAGGCTTCTAAAACCTGATATTTGGAAACACTGCAAAAACTGAATCGAAAATAGGAGGCATAGACGCTTTAACGTCAACGGTTGTACCTTGTATCTGGTTTAGTTACATAAGTGTGTATGAATTCAAGTCTAAAAGGGATCGTTAGGATACATACTTCAAGATACACGACTAGACTCTAACTCAGAAAGACAGAGTTATTTAATACGCTAGTAGTCCAATGCTAGGCGCACAGCGAACGAGGAGTACAAAAATGAAACCTAGTCATTAAGCAAATACCAGAAATTTTCTGAATCGGATAATTATCCAACGTCTACGAGATCCCAAAGCTACCTCACGATGTTAATAAAAATAACTAGTTGGAATTTCTTAAAAATGCTTGAATAAACCATGCAGTAAACGACTGAATGAATACAACATAAAAGTCGAATGAGGGAGATGATAGTGAAGAAAAAACCACGGGCGGAGGCCCTGGACTTGCCGTAAAATTCAGGGATTGCTTGACTAGAATAATCCAAAGAACGACTTTCCTGATTTCGACGGTGAAACCTGCAAGCAACAACGAGGTGATAAGCAAAAAACAGCTACATAGCTTAGTACCTACATGATTTATGTACTTTGCTTGACTGGCGGCTATAACTTCTTCATAGGCTTTTTCTCGTGCTTTCAATTTCTCTTGAATTTCTTTGTCTTCCCGCTTCAACCTTTCAACAGCTTCTTCGAATCTTAAAATTCCAAATGTTTCATTGAAAGAGTATTGAAGAACAAAGAAAAGAACTACTTCTTCTTAGCTTCTGTGTATTCCGTCTGGAACTTCGCCATCTCTGTTTTCTTCGCCAATAGTGCTTTTTCTACCTATAAAAGCAGTAGCAATAAAATAAAAGATGAATACTACAACTAGCTGATGCTCAGATTTCCTTACCTCTATAATTTCCTCGAATGGCTTCATACTGTCGCCAGAAATCGGCATAAACGTAATAGTATACCTAAAAGTGGACCAGCACACAATACTAAAGTGCTGACTAGGAAATGTGAGTAAGCCCAACATTGTTGCGGAAGGTCTATCGAGGATTTCCTTTGCTACAAGACTACTTCTACGCCCTCGACCTCTACTTGCTTCATGCTGCAAAAAAAAAAACCACAAAATTCTATTACTCCGATTCTTATCAATGCCACAATAGTTCGGTACAACAAGAGAGATGGAGTTCAAAACGAAGCCAGTCTATATCAAAATGAGGATGAGAAGAAGTTCTTTTTTCTCAACCCTCATTACGAAAACTTCGTCTAGTTCGAATGCCACAACACGAGGAATCAAAGGAATCGCCGTTATGGATTTATTGGATGCGATATGGAATGAGTAATTCCACTTACTTGACTGCATTCAGCCAGTTATCCCCGTAAACGCAAAGTATGTGCTTCCGTGTATCAAGTAAATGTGCAACCTGAGTTTCGAGAGTATCCAAATAGTGAAATGTCAACGGTGTGTCCCTGAAATTGCTACATCAGCAAAAGAGTGATACGGCATGGTAAAGTCCCCTATTTTGTGATGAATCATAACAAACAAGAAAATATTGTATAAACTCGTTCCAACGTACCTATCCTCCATGTGGAACTTCAAAGGTACAAATTCTCCTAGATTTGCAATAGTAAAGGGTACAAAGAACATTTCCGCCTGAGTACCTGCCGACTTTTTCTTTTGGCTTTCCTTAAACAAGAATGGTTACTTAGCCTTCGTCAAGTCAGGTAGTATGCTCAGACGCAAAAACTAGTCCTGGAAGGATTCTGTGTAACGAAAAACCTTTCAGTAATTCGATTATCCATTAATTTCAATGAGATAATGCTTACAATCGAAGTTATTTATCGCGAAATGTTCTCAGAAAGGAAATCGCAGGCAAGGAGTCGCAATATAAAAAGCAGATACAAACCTCAATCATTCGAACACCGCCTTCCTTGTCAAACAGAACAAGCTTGAACTTGCTTGAAGATGAAGACTTGCAAACGATGCAAATACCGTGCTGTCGGTACTCTTCTTTCATTTCGATACTATAAAACGCGCCTTCCTGAAAGTAACTATTCAGTCCTACCGGAAAGCATAAGTTGAAGAAGCACAGGTCCAAGTCGAAGAAATCGAAAAACACGAAGTAACAAAAGAACCTGTTTCGCAATACTGGCTGAAATGATCTCGCCAGGTGCGATGGGTCGAGCTTCCACATCACACGCGGATCCTTCGCAAAGCTGCCGAGCTTGGGCCAAAACCTGAAACAGGGGCACGAAATAACCTCTTAACGAACTGATTTCAAATGAGATGAGTCCAGAATTACAGAAAAATACCAGGAACAAACGTACTTTTGGTACAATCTGAGTGGGAATTGGAACGCCTAGCTTATTGAAAAGAGCACCAAAAACTCGACCTGAAAGATAAATGCGAACCATCGATTGCATGAGGATAAAGGGAGATAAAACAGAGGATAACAGGGTATAAGATAGAGGGTAAAACATACCTACACCTCCAAGTTCGGATACATCGAAACCTTCGAAATCCAACTGGCTAGAACTAGGCCCGCTAACGTCGTACTGTCGGCGCTTATTGGGATCGCTTAGGACAGAATAGGCTATGGAAATCTTTTTGAACTGCTCTTGCGCTGAAATAAATGCTGATATGAAAATGATAGCGACAAAATTAAGTTCGAATCGTAAAGTTAATCAAGTTTTCATAGTGACTGGTCAATTAAGATGTCACAACCTTCAAAAATGATTGGCTCAAACAACCGTAAACCCGTCTATTTCAATGTAATCCAGTGGCCTACTCCATGTTCTGGACAGAACAGTCCTATATTTTTTAGCATATTGCAATGCTAACTGAGTATAAGTAACAATCATGCAGTTAAGAAGTTCACTGAATTAATTCGTGATCTAGAATCACAGATAATTCGAAGTTCTTCTTCTCCATTGGGACCTTACTTCTAAAAATTGAGCGACTCATTTAGTATGTATCGAATTACTGCAGCTACTCAGTCAGCGAACATTTAGCTCTCGTTAAATCGATTACCCTATATGAAACTCAGAAAATTGCGACAATTCACGACCGAAATGAAAAAGCGCCGAGAGTGACAGAACCACACAGCAGAATTAAGAATATTACACACTACAACTATATGTTCATTCAAGATAGATATAAAGCAATCTTACCGTGCGCATCGCCAGGATTTCGGTCTGGATGGTACTTAAGGGCCAATTTTCGATAAGCAGCTTTGATTTCAGACTCGCTTGACTTCTTTTCGACACCAAGAAGCTCATAGTAGTCTTCTTGGATCACGTCAGGCGATTTCGGTGGCGACATACCTAGAAAGGCTGAGGGAGATCAATACGCTGCGAATCCAAATAAAAAGCCAAGCAAGAGAGACGATGATTTAATGATGATTAACACCCGAATAAAGGCTGTTTCGAAGCAAACCATCAATCACAATAGAGCATGGAAATCTTTTCAAACCTCATGAGGCTGTAAAATCACCAAAAAACATATCCTTTGCTAGTGACAGCTGGAACAGCTGACATTAATAAAAGATTTACAATTCCAACTGAGCAGGTTATGTCGAACTATTATAACTATTCTGACAAAAGAGAACTTGGATGAACCTTAGTCTTATGCTATACCTATTTGTTTTTTGGGGGTTAAAGTTTATTTACCTAGGCCGCGGAGTGTATGCTCTCACAAACCTCGCCTAGCTGTTAGTTGCATTAATGTGAGCGAATAAGTGTCATCTTTTCAAAACATATATAGCTAAAACCTCAACAAGGAACAACAGAAACAACAGACCGGCCAAAGAATGTGACCCAACAACTTTTCGGTAGTAAGGAGTAAATTATTCCAATCTTTCAAGCAAGGCACTNCATTACGATGCAGCAGATTCATAGCTGTGTAGAGAATGAGGTATGTGAACGAAAAGTGGGAAAACAGAACAAAAACAAAATCGGTTCAAATTGGATGAACTGAGGCATCGCTCGTTACTGGAAGTATTCCACAAGGTAACTTCCATTGTTATCGGCAACCACTTGTCTTCAAAGTTGGGTATGTTTTCGTTATTTAGCCGTTTAGCCGTATACATAACATATATCGACTCACTCCTTAATTTCACTTGAACCATATTGCAAAACTCAAACGGTCAAAAGAAAAGGAGAATTAACGAATTCCAAGTTATAGAAAAACAATGTCCACCAAATTGCATAAAACGAAGAAATGTAAGAACATTATAATGAGATAGCCCGATTCACAGAGTACCAGAAAGGGAGAGGTGATCAAGGGTTAAAGCGTTCTGAGAGGTAGTCGAAGAATCACGACGTTCTCACATGCCTTTCATTCGCGTCAGAAATTAAAAACTGGCTCAAAAAACAAATCATCAAATCCAATCAAAATTATTATTGAGTATTTATGTAAAGAATAAAGAGAAAGAGAAGTAAAGGAATTAAGGAGTAAAGAGCAAATGTGTAAAGGAGTATGATTGACTTCACAGAGAGGAAACTCGGGAAGTGAGTCAGACGACCAAAACATAGGTATATGTAAGGTTGCTTTGGTTTTGGATGAGTCAGCGATAACATGACGTCGATTGCCCACGACGAAATATCGACCTCCTGTCGAAAGCGTCCTTTTACGAAATCGGCTTCTCATTATTCACTGCCTAGCGGCAAAGGACAATTAGAATACTCCGAACAAATGGGAGAGCCTGTTTACGATGTCCTAGATGCAACATTTGAGTTTTTCTTCGGTTACTTTCCCGAGAATAAACATAGGATAAACGTAAAACCACAGAAAGTACTGAAGAAAGATGAACGCTGAATAAAGTTAAATAGAACTGGAAAGTTAAGCGAAAGTCAAAAAAGAAGGGTTAGAAGATGAACAAGGATTTATCACTAAGAAGTTGATATCAACTTGGTGTGATAAGATCGATTTGTTGATTGTGAGAGATTCTCAAATAGAAGTTACAGAGAGAACTGACAATGAGAAAGGTAGTGAACTCATAAGAAGGCAAATTAACGGGAAGAATCGGGGCTCGAAATTGTCGCAATTTGCAGTTCCTGCACTTATCGACCTATGTAACTCAGTTTCTAACCTTATTTGACAACTACAAATGTAAGAGAGATCAAGGTGATGTTAGCGTAAAAACATCGAAATGTTGACTACTCTGTCACCGACTGATTAGTGCAGAAGCCCTTAGAGATCAAGGAGCTTTCACTGAATGTGTATCTTTTGGTGCTTTGGATAAACTTATACAAGATATGGAGCATATATGAGTTCTCGAGAAAGCGATGCCGTTGTAGGTGGCTCAAAAAAGGCGTATGAGAGTACCACCAGAACTTGGATGAACTCTTCAAGGGCCAACTTTGAGCAGCCTTTACATCTTCAGATAGATGAAGCGAGGAAACACTAGGTCAAACCATCATATGCTAAATAAATCAAAGTTGTGAATAGAAAAGAAAAGGAATAATGAAAAAACATGACTATGTGCCGTACAGGCATCCAGCTCATTTCGCAAATTCAATATAGCGTCCGCAGTTTCGCGTGAGAGGCAAGTACGGACACTACCTTTAATTTGACGCATAGCTTGTTTTTGTTCAAAATACATATGTTAAGGTTCTTTTATATGTACGCGTCATTTGGTATAGATTTTTCTTATTCTCTCATAACGTTCAATTGACTCATTTTTGATGTTTCCTCTTTTTAGCGTGGGAATGGGGAAGTTCAAGAAAATTCAAGAACTAGTCAAAGAAGAAAAGACGGAAGTGGATAGTGGAGAGGAAGAAGGAACTGCTACAGATGAAGATACTTCTGAAGACGAAGGATTGGTAGGGTTCCCCAATACTTGTCATTTTTCCCACCTTTTTGCGCCATTCCGCTGCAGTTCGTTCTATATGCGACACCTTAACTGTTTCTCATTAACGATGTTTTGTTACTCATTGCCTCTGTTTGTGAACGTAGAATTTGGTCCTTACATCTAAACCTGCGCGACCTTTGGACTGAGCTGAAAACTTATGAATGAGTTCTTATGACTATGAGCGGGATAATCTTAGAAACTCGGAGTGGGGCTTCTATTTTGACACTGATATCGGAAATGTACGAGAGCAGTTCTATCATTTCGCATTTCGATGGATTCCTAGTGTTGGCAATATAGTGAATTCAAACGTATCACCTGCCGGTTTCATTACTGGTGTCCCTGCCTTTTCTTAATTAAATTGCAGTTTTATAACGCTACATCAAACGTTTGCTTGAGGAGTTTCTGGCGTTTTCCCTCTTCATCTGGTTGCTGAGTGTGCTGCCGATTGTGGCCTTATTTTTTCCCATTTTTGATATGCACAAAAGGCCAAATCCGGACGAAAGAGCGATGACAGCTATCTGGCTATGCACCCTATTTGCTATTCTGACAAAGTCCGTTAATGATGTTTTTCTGCCTGTCTCGTCTCCCTATCTCCTCCCTTTCCGATGAAAACAAATTGGTGGCAAGAGTGTAATCAAATAGTGAATGCGATCTCAGATTTCCAAATATGGACAGAACGTAGTTAACGAAATCATTGCTTAGAACCAGCGTTTGAATGTTATGCGAAACGTTTCTAGAGCCCATATGTCTTTTTTGGTCACGCCCTTTGCTGTATCTATAGCAATCGCAGCCAATGAGGTAATTCTCGGTTCCGACATCATAACAAAGTTAGTTTAGACCGTAGAAGAAAAGGCTGAGGAGAAAAAGCGAGCTTTACTGTGGACAAATCGGGAACGCGTGCTGGTTCTGTGTTCTCGTGGAGCTGACGTTCGCACGAGGCACTTGATGAACGATATTAAGGTTAGTATTGCGGTAGTTGTTTGTAGAAGAGTCTGACTTGTTTAGCGGTAGTGTTTGAGGGTAAAGTAAAGCAGAACTAGAATTTGAGCCGCTAGATAAAGAGGTTCATTATGTTACGCGATAATTGCAGGTGTTGATGCCTCACGCAAAAGGAGATTCGAAACTTGATAAACAGAAGTCTCTGGTTGTCATCAACGAGATTGCTGAAATGAAGAATTGTACAAAAGTACTCTATTTTGAAAGCAGGAAGCATAAGGTTTGATGCTCAGCGGTCATAATGGCTACCTACTTGTGAGAATCTTTGTGAGCACCTTCCAGGATGTCTACTTGTGGATGAGTAATGTTGATAATGGTCCTTCTATAAAATTTCTTGTGCACAATATGCATACAATGATGGAATTAAAATTGTCTGGGAATTGTTTAAAGGTGACATATTGATCTGAATTTTGATGCTAGCAAGAAAGCCCTGTGAATTGAATGACATTTTTCATTTGAGGCATCTCGGCCAATTCTTTCATTTGATAGCAGATTCGATGAGGAGCCACATTTGACGCTCATTAAACATGCTCTGATGCAGGTCAGTTGTGGTTTGTTTGCTACATAGACGAGTATTTTCTGATTTTGTTTACCATTTGTCATACTTACTAGAGGCTTTTTCCTTGGGAAAATCCCTTGCTTATTGAATATTAAGTTATATCACGGTTCTAGCGCATATTCCATTCTTTTTTACCTAAAAATTAGGCGCACATTGCTGCATGTCACGAGGTACGTCGGCCCGCTGAATAATTGCTTTCATTTTGCGGCATCGATCTCATCCTCTGTGCTCATGGGTGCATGCACATTGCTTTGCTCATAAAAATCTGAAGAGGGTGAAAACACGAGAACTGCTCAGGCCAAATATCACTCAAAAAGGTGCTCTGGGCTAAGTAGCTATTTGCCTTTAGTGAGAAGTTGATTGTTGTGAAGTAGGAGAAATCTACCAAACCGGTAATCTTCTGACGTCAGTCGCTTCTTCTCATGCTCCCCCTTTTTCCATCCTTTTGCACTTTCTGACAAATTAGGCCACGCACTCTTCCGTTCAATACTGGACAGCCCACGTCCAATCCTCTTTCCAGGCCTATTCTTCTTCCCTCATCACTATCTGCTAAAATCGCAGCTCCCCCTATGGTGCATTCCTATGTGCTAAAGATTTATTGATTGGGCATGATTTTCACGTAGCCAAGAAGATGCATTGTTTCCATCAACTATGCTAATGAAAACAGACCAAAAAGTGCAATTTTAAGGCAGATTTATGACTAAGTGACTCGTTCCCCGGGAAACTTTATCTCTTTGTTTACTAATGTGCAGCTATCTAGCATAGATTCGACATTGCTATTGTATTCGTTTTCATAGACATATAATCTCCTTTTGTTGTCAGTTTGTCTTCGTTTTATTCGTTGCAACATCGAATTGCTTCCCGTTTTCACCATTGTTTTACAGACTTTCGCCACACCTAATCATCATCCTCGGAGTCAGCCATTCTTTGACCATGTGTTCTCATTCTCCGTGACTCCGGATAAGAAAATCTGGTTTAGGAACTTTCAAATTGTTGATGAGACCCTTCAGTTACAAGAGATTGGTGAGCAGTTTTTCGTTTGGTTCTACGGGGACTCATCCTGTGACTGTTATTCCTTTTAGCCGAATCCTTGTTTTATTTGATTTGAAATATTCGTTTACAGCTTTATTTAGTGTTCGCTCCCACCTTATTTACTTACGGAGATAGGATGATTCAACAGTGTGCCTGCCATAACATACTTTAGGACCTCGATTCGTACTTGAAACCATCCGGATATTTGCCGGATCTTTCGAGGGTGCAGTGTTATACGACAATCCGGATTATGAAAGTCCAAATGCGAAGCGAAGAGCCCTCAAGCTGCTTAGTAAAGGAAAGTATATCGAAAAACAGTTGTCGAAAAAAGTGGGTTCTAGTGATCAGAATTTTACAATAAATGACTTCGTTCTGTGAGAGGTTCTTGCTGTGTTCAGGCCGCACTCTCCAAAGCTCAACAGATAAAGGATGTGATTGCTGAGAAGGTGGAAGATCCCGTCGGAGAGGTATTCTAGTATCAGTTTAAATTCATTCATTTGAGTACTCCATGTGTCCGAGCTTCGCCCTCTTTGAAATATAACTCTATTAGTTCGTAAGAGCATACAAGAGGATGAGCGGTTGCCCAGGTCGAGGTAGTTGTCCTAATAGCTGAACTGATGATCATGTCTTATAAATATCTATGCATTATCATCCTTGGCAATTTTGAATCAATTTATGGACCTGTGTTCCGGAGCGAATGCTGGCAAACATCCTCGGGGGCTTTTTTGCTGCATCCTTTTTGTTTTGTCTCGAGCGACGGAGCAAAGGTGGGACAGAGTGCAAGTGATTAGTAGTGATAGGGATCTTTAGTAGCATAAGCTAGTAATCACTACTTTCATGTTAATGACATAAAGCTCACTCCGACCAATGAACTAAGGTTGGTAAAACAGGGTCGAGTGGTGCACCCGGTAAAATGCTGTACCTAAACTGCCAAATCGTCAAACGCTGAGGTTTTCAATAGCTGATAATGATCTATTGAAGGTATTCGACGTAAAAGACGAGCCTCTGGATGAAGAAGCGAAGAGAGTCGTATCGATGATTGAAAAGAAGAAGAAAAAGAAAAAAGTTGTTAAAAAAGCGAAATATACTGGAACAGCGGTTGCATAAGGCGCAATTTGGTTATTTCTTGACTGTGCGTTCACCTTTAAGAACTGAACCGTTTCTTCTTCTCTGTTTTGCTACACAGTTATTGTTGTTGTTCTTGTTGTTATTCTCAATTGTTGACATTCATGGCTCTTGTACTTATGAAATAAACATTATACTGGTAGCACTGTAAATGGGCGTTCGGTCATGAAATTGCCGGTTGATATCTGTTTTTTATGGTTTCGAACACATATTATGGCTTGTTTTTGATTTCGACATTAAAGAAGCCTCACTGTTGTTCCCCTCTAAATGTTCATTTCAGGAATGGCAGGGAATGGGGTAACGCCATCGTTCAAGGAAGCGGTGGAGTGGCGGCCTGATGCGAATCACTGCCATGAAGTGGTGAGTTGAGCCGAAGCTGTATTAGTCTCAAAAGGGGTCGCATTGACCGGTCAACTATAGTGAAACTTCTTTTTCACTTTTTAGTAATGCTGCCACTTACAGATCGATGCTCTGGCGGACCGTTATGTCAAAATCAATGTTGGTGGTGCACTATTTCAAACAACAGTGGGCACACTTACAAAACATGACACAATGTTACGAGCGATGTTCAGTGGCCGGATGCAGGTACAGCGAGACTGTTTCTATAGCTAATGTCCACTTCTTTCTTGCCCCTTTGCTCCTCCTCCCTTCAAAACCGTCATTATTTGATGCTGTCAGCGCAGGGCTGGTTAGGATCACTGTTAAATACTGCGTTAATTGACGAATATTAACGACAAAGACGAATTCTTATTAAATATCAACCTTATCAGTGATATACAACATGGTTAAACTCCGATTAGTTCCTCAGTTGCTTTGTTCGCAAAAACTTTCAGTTTTCTTGAAATATTCTTATCAACTCTTTCGAAAGTTTATAAGCCCTTTCCAGGTAGTTACTGACTCAAATGGTTGGGTGTTAATCGACAGAAGTGGCAGACATTTCGGTATCATATTGGATTTTCTTCGCGACGGTTTCGTGCCGCTTCCTGATTGTCGTGTGGAGGTCGAACAAATTTTGGCAGAAGCCCGGTATTATCTTGTACAGGTGAGGATGGTTTCTGTCATGGGATGCTAACAAAGCTTCCAACTGACATTCAATTTCATGTTTTGTATTTAATCCAAACAGCTACTGCAGAATCAGATAGGAGCACCCACTCTAGTTTGGTATTTTCTGGCTAGCTAGTAACAACCAAATCTTTATATGCTTATTCCATTCCAAGCACATCAGAAACTAGTTCAGGATTTGGCAGCTGAGTGCCAGTCATGGTTAGAAACTCTAAGAGCGAGACGCGATGTTCGGGAACCGACAGCTACATGCAGCATTCCCGTCGTACACACAAAGGCCGAAGCTGATCACCTTGTTCTCAACTCTATCAAGGTACGTTGCTACGAAGCTCAAGTTAGAACCATCATTACTAATAAATTTTGCTGAGAAATCGATGGCTTTGGTGTTATTTCTCTTTATAATCATTATTTTTTAATTCTAGCCGGCCATAAAGCTATTGATAAATCGACACAACAACAAGTATTCTTATACGAGTCAGTCTGATGATAACATTATGAAGAATTTGGAGCTGTTTGATCGTCTTGCAGTAAAATTCCATGATCGTATATTGTTCGTTAAAGGTGAAGGACCTTGTTCATCTGATGTGTTAAAGAAGATTGCATTTATAGAATTTCTACGACTTTTGCAGACCAACGCGGAATTTGAATTGAGAATGTTATCATTTTTTAGATGTTGGTTCGGAATCATCCGAAGTATGCCAATGGAAGTTTTTCGGTAAAGGTGAAAAACGAGCTGAAGTGTGCTGCACCTCTATTGTTTATGCGACTGACAAGAAACAGACAAAGGTATGTAATAGATCTTATGAAAAATTGTTCTGGGTTAGCTATACGACATTATCTATCGTGCGAGAACCAACTGATGGTCTCCTATACCATGGAGTATTGTTGGAGCTCAGCACCTCACCTCACTCGATGTTTTTGGTTCATTTTTCACTAAAATATCAAAATATATATTGAAGTCCGGTGACTGTTGTCACAGACATCGATAGCACGGTCTCCAAAAATGCCTTCAAAAGAACTTGTTCCCAATATGTCCTTAAATGGGCCAACCAGCTTCGAAGTAACCCATCCACGGAGTTCGTTCTTTTTCGTCGTGAAAGTTTCCAAGAACTGAGAAACTCCTTGGTAATTCATTTATATGGGCTCGGTTTGAACACAGTTTTGTTGCAGGTTGAGTTTCCTGATTCAAAGATCTATGATGAAGCGATGTCAATCTTACGCTTTGAAGAAAGGGGTCTGTGTTCGAGGTGAAGTGATTTTATTATAATCTAGATTAACGTGTTGCCGCTTATTCACTACGAACTACATGACAAACGCACTATTCAGATGCGGTGGTGAAGCGTGCAGTCCGAAAGAGACAGTATCACCTCCTGATGGGATGAACGATTAAGAATTTTTCGATTGAATTGTTTCTTTCTCGAGCCTCTTTCTATTGCGTTCATTCATTTTCTTTCATTCATTTCCATAGAACAGCTTTTCCCTTTATCATAGAGGATCTCTAGTGATGATGATAGTCTCTATATACCAAATGTTGACGCCGAGCGTATGATTTCTCTAGTCTTCCACCAAGTGCTAAATACATATGTTAGTACACGCACGATCGTTGTTGATGCCTTCGTGGACGTTTAATAAATAATTTCCTCTTTCAGTTAAGACTTGTTAGTGTTAATAAACACCCATAATACAATGATTTGAGACGAAGAATCAATTTCAAGTGATGATAAAGGGAACCCGCCCGTTAAGATGAACAAATGTATTACCAGCTACTTTTTATAGCTATCTTCACCCATGAAAGGCATGTGCATGTGGATTAGAAAGGACAGGGTTGGAAATAATGGTGCTAAAGTAGCCGCAAACACATCAACGCAAAGTTAACGGAATTCTCTGATGAGTAAAACATTGACGGCAATCGCATTCTGGATAATGGAGATTCGCGAAGGACCGGCACTTACCACCCACGACTCCAGAGTTTTGATTTTTCGACATAGCACTTGGTGGTTATTCAACCATGAGCTCTACTATGTCCAGAAATCGTTTCGAGGCTTTGCGGACTTTGCATCTAGCCTATAACAATGAAGATGTTAATGGCGAACGTGCTAGTTCACCTCAGAGTAAGCAAGAATTCATTCGAAGCAGTGTAACCCTTCAGAATCAAAGGTATGGTATGGAACATAAAATTCTGAAAATAAAAAACTCTCTGGTACCATGCAGTATATACGAGCTTCATTTAGGTCTGATATGATGACTCGAGAGAAAGATGCAAAAAATGGAAATATAGTCTGATAAGATAAACACAACCGTGATCCAGTAGTCCTCTACACGGACCCATGCGCTCAAAAACTAGTCCAACGTGGACTACATTGCCGACACCTGTTAATGTTCCGTGCGCAAAATACGAATAGGAACAATCCGAAAGCGTTGTTTCTTCTACCTGGTCTTTCGACTTGTGTAACCATATCGTTTTCTGTCCAGGTATCCTTATAAGATGCAATCCTTTTCAAACTGTTCGAAATTCCAGCTTCTGTTTCTGACCAATCCTAGAAGCTTCTAACCAAGAGATAACCAGCTGTTAAAACCTGCACCTCCACACTTCGCCTCGCGTCATATTTTCATTTGAACGCACCCAAACAACAAGTCAACGCAACGATGAAATTCAGCAAATTAAGAAAGGAGACTGCTCATCACATAATGGTGATGCGCAAAGTATAACAACTCATCATATTGATTTTAGCTAACAACTTCCTTAATTAAGGACGATAAAATTTACAAATGTGAAGAATTTGACGGAACAACGCTCACATCGAACAAAAACACTTAATGCCACAGGGAGATAAACTGATGCGGTAGCAAAATAACATCGGTGTTTCAGGAGCACTCACAGGACTAAGTAGTGCTCAATTCTAAATTAAAGTCCAAAAATTATCATGACAAATCAAGAAAGGAATCTAACTTCTGATTTTTCACAACCCCTAGCCCCATAGTCCCTCGAATTCTCTGAAATCATATCAATAGCAAGGCTGCGAATTTTTTTCTCAACAAAATTAATTTTAACTTAAAAGCGTGAGATTCACCACAGTAAATAAATACAACGATGGATTAACATTGTAACAAACAGCAAAATCACTTTCAAACTCCTTTACTGTTTTGTAAAGCACGTAACGAATTGGCAACGTATACCAATTTTCGCTTCGTGTCACCATCAGGGAAATTCGAAAGGTCGAAATATTGAGGTGCGATTGTCAACAGCCTGAAAAAGCGATAATCTGGTCGTCGATAATTTTTAAACAACATAATAAATTTTACATCCAATGAGCGCTATCAAAAACCAATATTCTTCTCGTCCACATACTCACACGAAGAAAGTAACTTGAAAAAAGAAACTGGTTAACGTACCATTCCGGTCGCACATCCGTTACAGTTCGAATGAAGTTTTTCGTAGTCAGAACGAATTCATTATAAAGAGCCCATTCGGGTTTGTGATCAAGAACAGTAGATGGATGAAGGTTCACCAACTGATTATCCTTGACAGTCACGTAGTGGCCACTTCGTTGAAGGTGAGCAACCTCAAAAGGAGAAATTAAGTGCCAGCTCAAAGGAAGAGATTTGGAAAAAGCCAGTTTTACTAACTTGCATAAAGAATCCTGCGACTAACGCCTTCCGAATGTTAATATAATAATCTTTAGACTTGAAATCCGTTGAAACTCGGCGGAGATTGAACTGAAAAGTGGAGAGAAGTTGCACAGACTTTTTTATCGAACAGTAATGACACACGTGAGCAAAGAGGGATCACGGTTTTGTAAGAAAAAATAATAAATGACCCTACTAATATTTATACATATGCGTTAAAAAATAATCAAAACGGCGACCTCACGAGAAAACTCTAGGTGAGGAAGCTTCCATGAAAAGATAGTACAATGAGAGAAAGAAGATCACTAACCCTATCCATCGTCTTTCCAAGCTGCGTGCGCACAGTGTCAGCAGTTTTCATGGTACGGTAATTGATAAAGTTGTCGTAACACCATTGCACATCCTCGTTATCTGTATGCAGTAATGTTATTCATTTTCAACCTTACTGATTGATCTACTGAAGTGACAAGAACTCTGCCAAAAAAATCAGCACATGTAGGAAAACTCGGAAGAGCTCAGAAATTCTGAGGAAAAATGAGCGTGAGAGTCCTTATCCATTACAAGGTAATCCCGCTCGATGAGAAAAATCTAAATAAAACAACTAACTTTGCTTAAAAGCATGGTACACATTCAGTAGAGTTAAATGGTCTCCATCGACGTGAGCGAATCGTGCTTTCGCCTCATCGGCTTCCTTTTTCATTTCGTTCGGCCGGACGAAGCACTGTGGAACTGAAAAAAGTGTAAGTGAAGAATCTGCTGACATCCTCGACAAATTAATGTAAGTGAGTCATTGTATATTTATAGTCACGAAATGCAAAAGTAGATCTAATCTATGTATGTATCATAGAATGTTTTCCCAGTCAAAAAAGGTCAATCCATCGGTAAAAATTCATGCGTCACTGAATATAAAAATGTTACTTTCCACGTCTGAACTTTGACATAGTGAAGCGGATGAACTTACCTGACAACATAGCCGTAATTGATAAGATTTCATTTGAACAGTTGAGCTCCGTCGAAGTTATTAACATCTTCGCTGAAAACATAACGGTTGAAAAAGTTCAGTGGAAAGTGGCTCTTTGGAATGGAATGAAGTCTAAGGAAATAAACCCCATGCTCAACGAGTAAGTTCTGTGTTAGACCCATATCGAAAAATTCATTTCATTAGACTAGAGCTCTAAGAATCCTGTATTCCACCTATAAAAGACATAAAAACAAAGATAAAAATATAAACATATTAAATAATAACAACATATTGAATAAAACAATATAAAAAACCGGAATATAAACAAAAACAAAAAAAACTCACCCAACTGCGGATCCAGTGGAAATTCTGCCATTAACGATCCAAGTTCCGTCAGTTCCCCATCGTCATTGATAGCTGCTAGATAGTTAAGCAACTCCAAAGCTCGCATTAATGTCTCAGGAGCTGGAGGGTCCATGAAGTCAAAATGAACGAGATCTTCTATTCCCAGTTTCTTTAGCTGTAGCACTACTGATCCTAGATTGGACCTGGAATTTACGGAACGTTTACAGGAGAACTGAATCATCCCTTTTCGACCTGGAGATGTCGAAGATCTTGTAGCCTTACCGTAAAATCTCAGGATATGTCTGCTCCTGCATCTCTTCTTGATATGCTTTTTCAGTGTATAATCGGAAACATTTACCTAGAACGGCAAGACTGAGGTGAAAACAAGTGTCGACCTGAGAATATAAATCGTAAAAGTGATTAGTAACCAACCAGGTTTCGTACGACCAGCACGTCCAGCACGTTGCATAGCACTAGCCTTCGAGATCGGACAAACTAGAAGAGATTCTACTCGAATGCGAGGATTGTAAACCTTTTGCTTCGAGAATCCTGGATCAATCACGAACACAACACCGTCAATAGTCAATGAAGTTTCAGCAATGTTCGTAGATACGACACATTTGCGACCTGAAATTCGTCAAAACATTGAGCGATAATTGATTCACAATGAAAAACCGTAATAGATGAACAGTTTGAAAACTGGGAGATCTTCAAAAAAGGACCTATTGCTCCTGGACGGCTTGGAGGCGACGGTTCGAAAATTCGTTGCTGCTGATTTGGAGGAAGTGACGAGTAGAGTGGGATGCAATTCAATGCACCAACTGATGGACCGAGATTATCGATCTCACGTTTTATCCGTTTACAGGCCTCCTCGATTTCCTGAACAAATCTTATACTTCGAGAGGACGCATTCAGCCCTGCGTTTTTATGCATCTATGTGCGTAAAAACGCACTGGGACAATTGGCAAGAAATTGTCACAGAGCCACTACTCTCTGTATATGACTAATATTATAAAGAAAAGCGGTCCTGTAACTGTTATCTGAGCAGGCATTCCGAGAGCAACCAGCCAGAGTACAGATGGAGTCAGCGCCTTATAACAAAAAAAAAAAAAATCCTGCAGTACCGTCGAACCACTAAATTACCGATCCTGCAAGTTTGCTCACCTCCTGACCAGTGAGGAACAGCAGAATATCTCCTTCAACTTCCTCGCATACGTGAATTTGAATTACAGTCCTGATTGCAGCTTCTAGATAATCCTTTTCTGGTTCCGGAGTGAACTGAAGGCCACATTTAGAGCAGTTTCGCACTCTTATGACTACTATAAGAAAAAGAAAACGAACAAAGATTTCCACAGGGAACGTCCGTCCTGGAACTGCCATTAGAGGGCAATTTTCAAAATAACTCTGGAACTTTCCAGCATCAAGTGTGGCGGACATGATGACTATTTTTATATCGGCTCGTTGTTTCACTATTTCCTAAATTATGAAATTGTTAGAGAGAACAACAGAAAAGTAATTATAAAATAGAAAGTGAAGTCAATAAAGGCGAAGCTTTTTCAGGACAAAAGAAAAATGATCATGCCATAACAAGATTTCGGGAACCGCTAATTTGAAAGAACTTCTCTTCTACTATATTGTCCTGGAGATTCTCATTCAACAAAACTTCAAAATACCTGTGCAAACTCGCAAGTTACTGAATACCCATGAATTCTCTATTTAGAATTTCCTACACTTGAGTGAGTTATCTCTACCTTCTCTTACCTTTATTAAACCCATAAGTATATCAGTCGCTAATGTTCTTTCGTGAGCTTCGTCGAGAATTATAACTCCATATCCATCCAACAATGGGCAATTCATCGCCTCACGTAGTAGCATACCTTAAATGAAAATTGGTGTGGGCTCTCAGAACCAGTTTGAATTGAATTAGAGCTCGATAAGCGCTTTCATATTTTCCAACCGCTCATGTTTTTCGCATTCAAACAACGTTATCCGTTTTTGTTTTTACTGGAACCAATAAATGATGAATGTTACTGCGTTTCCTCATGTCGAGAAGCTGTATGTTTCCGAGTTTTGTAAGTTTCACAAGCTGGCCAGACAAGAAAAGAAAGTTCCGATACTAGATAGAAAATCTAGTTTTTCATGTTCACAAGAAAGCGCGGTTCCTTACCAACGGCAAAAACACAAAACCGAAAACAACGAAATGATTGCAGTGCTCAACATGCGATAAGTGATATAACCACCTTCAGCTTAACTTTTGAGCGTATGTACCCCTTACAAAATCCAACACGAAAAAAAGCTCAGAAACTTGGCTTCTGCTTCCCTAATAAACCGAAACCTCGGTAGGCACCTATGATTGAAGCAACTTGGACACTGTAGCGTCCTCTCATATAATAAAAAAAAAACCCAGCAGTCATCAACGAACCTAGAGGCCAAATTAACCATTAAACGACAGAAACAGTAGACGAAAACTGTAAAATAATTACAACCGTTAAGAACCCTTGGGAAATAATGGAGGATTCAAACCGTGGAACAACTGTGCAACGACTACTACCAACGAGAACAAATGACAACACTAGTTTCTACACAAAAATAGAAACAAAGAGAATTCTATAATAGTTTAAGCAACCACAAAATTCAAACAAATTTCTGCCCTGATACTTTGAGATTTGAATCAAAGTGATAATTTCACTAAAGATTGTAACAAGTCATTTCTAAACGTACTCAAACATGCCAAAAAACATACCATCGGTACAATATTTCAGTATAGTTTGGGCACTGACGCAGTCTTCGAAACGAATAGAATATCCGACTTCCTGTCCCAACTTGAAAAAAACTAATCGATAAAGTGTGAACTTTGGTGAAGAAAAGTAAGCCACCCAACTTGCCAGATAGTTCAAAATATGCTAAAAGACAAAGGTTAGGAAAAATCAGTTTACCTGGACATCCATTTCGTCTGCAACACGCGCAGCCACGGACATAGCAGCTACCCTTCTGGGCTGAGTGCAAGCTACGAGCCTTCGCTGGCCTGGAACTGCTCTTTGGCGAACATAGTCCACGCACCACTGCGGTATCTGTGTGGTTTTTCCGGAACCCGTCTCTCCAACAAGGGTCATACCTGCGAAATATACAGATAATCTCTTAACTGCCTATGTTATCGGCAACATTACTGCATTGAGTATAAGATAGTTCGAGGCTGTACACCACAAAATAGGATCAAAAACGCAAACAAAGGGAATAAGCTAATTGACTAACAAAGGAGAAAGTGAAAAAAGTGTAAAGCAGAATGTATCAACTACTTGTTTGACCGGAGTATCACTTACTGGTGCTAGCTAGTTTCTTCAGTGATTGCATTGATGAAAACGAAAAGTTCTTAAAAGTGGTTCAAAACCTACATTGGTTGTTATGAAGGATTTCCATGAATTTTTCCTTGTATTCCCATACCGGAAGATTACGTCGCTTCTCCCAAATCTGCCAATATTTCTTACTGTAGGGCATTCGAGTGAAAGGATTCATTTTGACCTGGAACACATAATTATAACAGAAACGATCTAATGTTTGGAATATTGAAAACTGATACCTTGGCGTCAGCAGGCGCTGAGTTATTATTCTGTGTTATAGTTGAAGGGGACGATGTCTCCCGTTTTATAGGGGAGCGTGAGCGGGAACGGGAGCGCGAGCGAGACCTGCAATATTTACATCAGAAAGGTAATTTTTCAAACTATTTATGGGTAGCATCATAAGCCTCACAACTAAAATGTTTTGAACGGTCTTATTCTGACAAAGCTTATCCGAAATGACCTTTTAGCTACCTTGTAGGCCGTTTGCAAAAACACTACTCAAAAAAAGGAAATAACTAGACTGGATACATTTCACAGGACGTATAGGCTCTAAAGATTGTAGATTGAAAGCAGAACGCTCGGGTTGTAAACTATTGGCATAGCGCTCTCTGATGTTCATGGAGAAACAGTGTCGATTTCGATGACAACTTCTTTTCGAGAAACAAGTTTTCAAAAGGTTTTTAATTTGAATGCAAGTACAACAGTTCAGAAAATCAAGTCTCCTCTATGTTACGTGCACTGTTTGTAAGTATAAATGTAGGCATTTTAGTAAAAAATACAGTGTTTTCATCGCAAATCGGGAACCCTGCCATCAATTTCTTAGATCTTACAACCAGTTTCGTGATTATATCTTTCTATTTTGAAAATATTATATCATCTTTTTTCATTTCTGAACCCCATTTCGAAAATTTTCCACACAGATTCCCAAATTTCGCATATGTGCAAAACATGGTCTAGGCCGAATCAAGGATTGATATGCACCTTCTGATTACCTTGTTCACAAACCTGTCGAAAAGTGGAGCAATGAAACTAAGCAAGAGGAACCAACAACATAAATGAGGTTAGGGCTATGGCGAGTTACGGGAAAACGTTGAGCTTCCTACTATATTCGAATCAGCACTTTTACTTCCCAGACTCGTATTGTTTATTCCTTGGCTATCGGAATTACTATGCTGTTAAGAACTGAAAGTCCAAACTATAAAATAATTTTCGATCACCACGCAATTAAATAATATCAACAAGAAAAACAACTCAGAGAAGCTATAGATTGGCCTGCTGCCTAACTTTTTTACGAAAACCACCATGGAACAAAAAAACTTGCTTCCTTCTAACGAAAACCATCATGCAGCAAAAAACTGACCTTCTTGATTTCCTATCCCTATCCCTGTCTCTGTCCCTGTCTCTATCTCTGTCTCTATTACGATCCTTTTTCTTGTCGTCATCCAAGTCAATACGATGTCGAGAAGACATGCTGAAAATTTTGGAGCATAAAAATACACAGGCTGGTAGCAACTGCGCTGCACAGCACACGGCTCACGCTCTTCTTTACGAGAAGAAAAGATCGATGAGAAAAGAAATGTCTTAAGTTAAGAAAAACGCTAATTTAGGAACAGGAAAACAGCAAATCTTTCGAAAGACATTCCTTCAATTCACATCCGTTTTATATGTTCAGATATTGATGTGTTTTATTAAAGATAAACTCGTTGAAGAAATATTTTAATCATTACCTCAAAGTTGTACAGTAATCAAGTAATCAAAGCCACTGTCGCTATTCTAAGACATTTGCGCCTACCCAATTCGAACCAAATTGAAAAACAAAAAGATGGAAAAAGCCTAATCACATTTTCGTTTAAAAAAGTCGTCTGCGTACACGAAACGTGACGCAAGCAGACGCGTGGCGATTTCTCACTAGAGCGTAAAAGCGCTTTGGCATTCAGCATTTCAATTACTCTGCATTGTTCTTTTAGCATGATAATGTGTTGCTAGATTTTTCCGCTCTTCTGCTCTGTGATAGCCTTCCGATGCAACTGCTTGGTAGTCCGTAGCATGAAGAATGTGTTGTATTTGATGCCTTTTTTGTTGTACTTTACAACTGCCTTACTTAGTGTTATAAATAGCAAATAAACAGACAAATTGGAGATAGTGGCTTGATCATCAAAAAAATAAGCAATAAGTGTGAGTCATCCGCAAGCCAAAAGCCACCCACAATCAAAAGTTAAAATGTAATAAATGTAGGACTCCAAGTTCCGGGTATTTAAAAACTCTGCACCTTCTAATGAACTGGCTCAGCTAATCTGCAACCTTCAAAAAAAGAAGAAACAGGGTAAGTCTTGGTCTTTTACTTTGAGCGCACTCAACGATCGTATGCTATTATGCACCTCGAGGGTTCCATCAGAATGGTTTTCTTCCAAATGAGAACATTACTAGGCTAGCGCATTTCATATATTATGAGAATGGATACATCCATATTCGCTTCAAACTCTACGACTACATAAATTACATTACTCAACGAATAAAAAGAAAACGGAGATCCACGGAGTGCTTTTCGTCATTGAGTGAGATCTCCAGCTGTTCATCTTGCAAGATTATGGACTGTAATAAAGTTAATGAAAAAGTTCTAACCCGACTGAAGGATTGTGAGAAACAGCTACATCTTTAATAGAACTAACTGTACAGCTGAGAATACAAGGACAGAATCTTTCATTCGATAGAAATGCACCTTAGAGCGAGAAGAGACGAAAATTCCGAAACCATGAAAATCAACCAGCAAAGTTTAAGGAGCAGCGTTAAACGAATTGTCGAAAAAGTGCACTCGAAAGCGAAACGGCGTTGGGTGTTGGTCTCGCCGCGATGTCTTGGCCGCGGTGCATGAAGTTTTGAGCGACTTCACGAACTTCTTGTAACTGGTACATTCACTCATGTTTCGTAACCGTCGTTGCATTGTTTTATGAATGTTTTATGAGCAATATCCAGTTCGCAAAAATATCGTTATGATTTTTCTACTGCTACTAAAGGGTTCAAGTTTTATAGGCTTAGTGGTAACAGGGCGGAAAGATGGCGTTGAGGTTTGTCATCGGCTCATCGCTACGGCCAGTTTTCAACAATCAGGTGATTTTATATGATCGTGAATAGCATTCTATTCTGTTTAATATGTTCCTGATATGGTGTACGCCCCGAGCAGGGTTTGTGTGATTGCTCAGCTCCCAGTGCCATTTGGAAATTGAAATTCACATGTCCCCAAATGCAGATGAAAGAAGCCTTCTTTCAGTGCTCCCTTGATTAGTTAATTCTCTGCGAAAGGCGCCGCATTGGTTATCTTAACATATTTCTTTTAGATCATTAACCTTTCAACCTCCTCTGCATAGTTAAGCTTTTACTCTTTAAATCCGAGTAAACGACAAGTATAGCTTTGTGGTTTGGTTATTAGGAGACGATGCGCTAGGATCCAATGCTGTAAACATCCTTGACATTGTTTCCACCGATTATACTGCAAAAGAAACACGTCAGAGCAGTATTTTGTCGGAAAAAATAGCGGAAGAACTTCGTTAGTACACGAACCTTCCTATTTGAACAAAGAATTTTTTCCACTGCCCTTGAACTTGCTTATTAATTTAATTTTTGTACTACATATATTTCAGCATTTCATCGAGTATACCCCATTAATCCAATGTTTTGTTTGAAAGAACACGTTTAGGTTCGTAATGTGGCTGCGTTATCTATAAAGGACGTGCTGGCAAATCAGCCATCTTGTGAAGTCCAAACGCTCAAAAACGGATTCCGAGTTGCGGCTGAAGACAATGGAAAGC